AAACAACATTCTCTATCCCATAAACATAGGGGTAAGGACTGTGTACGTCCTCCCCTTCTCAGATCCCACATGTGGGATTGCAACTGGATATGTTGTTGTTGCTGCTTGGTACAAATAATCTGTTAGTACTCTTGGGTTTTGGTCTATTTTGTATTGGAAGAAAATAATTAGATTGGAGATAGTGTTGTCAGAAGTGCGTGTAAGCCCTGAAGTGAGGCGCAAAACATGTTGAGCGCTTCGCCTTGCTTTGCGGGAGCATCAATGTCGTCATCAAGGAAGACATACTTTTCCTTTTCAATGAGCGTAATTCGGAAGAGGGGATATTTGATATTTCAGCTTACCGATTTTGATTTTTTTTTTCATTTTCTTTGTTCATATATTTGTTATTCATGCTTATAATTATTAGTCTTGGACTATACATTCAAATTTATAAAAAAAGATTCCACTTGCGCCTTTCTTTATTAAAGCCCACACTTTATCTGCGCAACACTTAAAGCCCCAACAAACCTTAGAGCTTGTTTTTATCTTTTTGCCTTTGATACACTGATTGGAGAGGAAAGGGTAGAATTGAATTAAACATTATGCTTGGATAGTAAAACGTAGGAGTTGTGCTGCAAAGTACTCTAAAGTGTGTTGTTGATATTTTCGCCTTAGGTTCAATGTTACTCATTTAGAGCTTAGATTTTGCATTGACGCCCGAATAATCTTTACTAAATTTCTTAGCATGAAAAGATCGGCCTTTGATTACATTGCCTTCACTTTGATAAGCCAGTAGAAGAACCAATTAGGAGAAGTAGGAGGTCAAGGCATGACATCTCTACTGGTAGTAAAAAATTAATAATCATGAAGCCTATGTGGACAAGGAGATGTTGGATAAATCAGAACAAAAAGAAATTTCAGTGCTAAAAAAATAGAGGAAACGCTCTGGAAGCAATGCTCCTAGGCACACTCTTGTTACACTTTAGTAAAGGGTTCCTCTGGTCTATGAGTTAAGCTGTGTTTTGATATTGGTATGGTTTGAAGTCACTACACTGCATTGGTTTCAAATTGAATATGATGCTTTGGCTGAGGGCAAGGCGCAAAATCATCAAACAGCGTCTCAGGAATCTCTAGGAGACAGATTAATTAGCTACAAAGAAGCAGTAAAAGGTGGTTCTATTAGTGATACTGTTTGCCAAACATGCTTTTAGCTGACAATGAAACTGAGAACATAACTGACATTGAGGAGAGCAATCAAGGCCATGACTCCTTAAGGAAGATTGATGACATTTTTCTTTGTGCTAGTGAGTTCATATAGTCTTCCGTATGAGCAACAAAGAAAGAAAAAGGCTTTTCTTTTTACGTGAAATTTGTATATGGAGTTCATCCTTTTTCATTGTTTAGCAATCAAAGTGGCAATTGCATGATTTCATATATATATATTTTAAAAAGCTTATCCTTCACAGGCTATTGCATTAACTTCTTGACTGAACAGAAAGTCTCAAACATTCTTGTTGTTTCACTGTTCGTTTGACCTAGAAATTTATCAAAAAGACAATTTACTTTGTTGTTTATTTATCTAAGTCGTATTTATGGAAAGTCTGATTTAATTTTATATGATGAATTGCTGTAGTTCTGCTGAGGCAGTGAATCGTATATATGAGATCAAAGGACGTAAGCATACAAGTCCTCTGGCTATTTGTGTTGGCGATGTTCATGACATAAAACACTATGCTGTGACAGATCATCTGCCTCATGGCTTGCTTGACTGCCTGCTTCCTGGACCCGTGACTTTGGTCTTAACGCGAGGTTAGTAGTTAAATGTTATGTCAACAAATGCTGCATTCACGGGTATCCTTCAAAGGTTAAATATCTCAAGTTAGTACTACTTCATTGTAACATACTAACTGTAAGTAACTTGTTGACACACTTGAATAAGGAGCAAGATGAGTCACTCTCCTAGGCAAACACTGGCCCATGTTCAGTAGTTTAAGAAACTTTTATCTTTCTCATATGAATCTTCTATACTGGATGCTGAATTCAGATATTCTACAGGTGAGTCAAGTATTCTTGAGAAGTCATTAAACCCTGGATTAGAGAGCATAGGGGTTCGAGTGCCAGACTGTAACTTCATCAGGGTGATTGCCCGTGGTTCTAGAAGTGCCCTTGCACTTACTAGTGCAAACCTCAGCGGACAACCTAGTAGCATAGACATCAAAGATTTCGAGAACCTCTGGGAGCACTGTGCATATGTCTATGATGGTGGAATTCTTCCAGCTGGGCGAGCTGGATCGACAGTGGTGGATCTTACTAAGCTGGGGAAGTACAAGATACTAAGACCTGGAAGGTAAGCTTCCAGTACCTAGGGACTAGGGTGCAAACTACTGTTGAGATGAACTGATATCTTTCTGAGAACGCTTCAAAAGAGTCGACTTCTTAAATGAATGAGTTGAACCAGAAAACACTTGAGCTGATGCTTATTAATTTAGAAATGTAGAGATTAGGTATAAAGAGCCAGAATTTTAAGCATGCTTAAACTTGGCATTCGTATAAAAGTCATTTTTATTAGTCATGTGTCGGGAAGGGCAATGAAAGCATCAGCTTGCCTGGATATTTCAACCTTTCTTTGATGCATGCCAGAAACTGCTCTCACGTCTCCAATTGTTTCATCACTTATCTGTTAGGAATGGCAAATTGCAAAATACTTGGACATGAAAAACTCAGACTAGAAGGAAATGCTTCAATCAGTGCCTAAAAGGCTTCTAACTTTATACCTTAGCTTTCCTTTGCTTTCTGACTAGAAGTTCCAGTGCGACTGACATTCCTTCAAACCATGGAATTTTCATTTATTTTTTTGATAATCGTGGTGTCTGGGCCAACTTTTGTGCACCTCGACTAATTCCATGGAATACCTGTCACCTCCTACCAACACAACAAGTACTAATACCAGTACTAGATAACTCTATCCACCAAGGCTAGGACAGATGGGAAGAAGTTCAAAAACACTAAGACCATGCCACAAAAGATTCCTTTGGAGGATTTCTCCAAAAAATTGGAAATGCTTATTACATCATTTTTCACTCAATTCATTCTTCTAACAAATGTCATCTCTCTTTTGCCTAGTTCATCTTTTTGCTTATGTGTTCTAGTCCATATATTGTTGATTGTAGCCATGACATCTTCCTTTTACGCATTTGCAAAAAAATAAATTGTTTGAGCCTTCGAGGGCTCAAAACGATCTTCATGTATCTAGATTCCTGTCTGGTGCAATTCCTCTAAACAATGTCTGTCATGCACTTGTTGTATACAATTATCTTTGTGTTGTTGAAACAACTATTCTTCATTTTTTACCGTTTGGACTAGAAATTCATTATACTACTGTTGTGCTTAAATTTGATGAATTACTTTACCTATGACAGTGCAAAGGAGGAGACCGTTGCTATCCTTGAAAGACACTCACTACTGGAAGATGGAACCGGAGATTAGCAAGCCGCTGTTCAAGTTGAAGCTGTTCAGCAAAACGAACCTCGTGCCTGAGTTTGTAAAGTACAATTCATAAAAACTTGACTCGATGCAGTTGTGCTTCCTTTCTGTCTTTGGAAAGCTTTCGTGTTTCTATTTGGAGTCGAAATCACTTCGAGTAGAGGAGAGGAACACACGTTTGTTCATGCATTGTTTAGTTTGTTAATTGAAGTGTTCTAGTCACTTACTAAATAGGATTCAAAGTGTGTTTATCATTTCCCATTTGAGAGCATTTACAATGTAATGAATCATGTTGTAACATGAAAACCTCATATTTTGAATTTTTTGACTTTTGAGATTCATTAGTGTCTTGCTTATGAATAATGAATGGAAAAAAGTTCTATTTATTCCTCAAAAATGTCAAATGATTTTGATTTACTCAATGTCTTTTTTTTTTGGTAGAAATATTTACTCCAATGTCAAGTTGGTTTTATTTGTTAAAAGTTATGTTCAATCAAGAGTATGCAATAGTATATCATTTTGAATTTCAAATTATTTGTCGTGATTTCTAAAAATAGTTATTCCAAATTATTTATTATTTTAGAAATTCAAGATAAGAATCAAGGGTTTTTCGGAAACAATCTCTCTATAGGGATAAGGTTTGCTTACACTCTATCATTCTAAAACTTTACTTGTAAAATTTTGTTGAATATGTTGTTGTTAGAAGTTCAAGATAAATTAATTATTCTTTTCTCGTTTTTATCCTTACTTGTAACTGCGTTTTTGGATAGTATTGCCACTTTAATTATTGGATGATAACACATAAATGAAGTAAATATTTGTTGAAGGAAAATTATATCTCAATACATAAATATATAATGGTACGATAGTTAAAAAAAGTTTCTTAATTAATAAGTACTTTTTAAAGAAGAGTGTAAAAGAGAAACACTGACAAATGATTTGAGACGGAAGGATTACACTTTATCTCGGGATTATCGTACGAATTCACGGACTAAATTATCTTGGGAGTATAGTAAAAATTCACAGACTAAATTATCTCGAAATTTCAATCCTGAGATTTAATGGGATATTCAAGATTAAGGTAATTGAGATCAAATTTATATTGTTGTTTGGTTGACAATTGGTTGACAATACACATTGATCATATTGTCAACCAAACATAATATAAAATTAATCCAAAACTTTATCCCGCATATCAAACAACACAAACTAAATCATCCTGATTATAGTCCTAAAATTATTATTCTTAGACTAATTTTTCCCATCTGGATTAAGGTAAGATTTTCATAATTAAGTCTGAGATAAAATTTATACTACATTTGATTGACAATATAAATTTATCCTTACATTAACCAAATGTTTTATTAATTTTATCCCCGTCTTACTTCTAAGATACTTTACCTTATCCGCGTATTAAAACCAATAAGGAACTAGCAAAAAAAAAAAGGATTGAGGTGGCACTTATCTTGGAATTAAGAGGGGTTGTTTGAAATAATCGAAAACAAGATGGGCCTTTTAGCACATTTACAATTTTCTCTCTTCAAAACCTCAATGGATCACCTCCATTAGAGAAGCTTCAGTTAAACCCCAGACAGTTGAAGAAGAAGAAGAAAGACATAAAGAAGAAAAATATGAAGATAGAAGAGGTGCAATCAACAATCAAGAATCAGAGAATTGCAACTCATACTCACATTAAAGGCCTTGGTCTTGAGGTAATTTCTTCATTTACCCCAAAACCCCTCTTTGCCTCTGTTCACTATTTTTGAGATTTTAGGAAAAATTTAAGGTGAAATTGTTTTTATTTGGTGTTTGGGTTCATGGGTTGTTGAGTTTTGGTGTTAAATTTGCATAAAGCTGCTATCTTGTGCTGGTTCTAGCCAACCTCTTCTTCGCTTTTGTGTATTGTTTTTGACCTTTTAGGAATTATTTGGTTAACTTGCTGTTATTTGGTGTTTGGGTTTATGGGTTTTTGAGCTTTTGAGTTGTTGGTGGTATAATTTGCATAAAGCTGCTATCTTGTGCTGACTTCGCTTATGTGTATTGTATTTGATCTTTTAGGGATTTTTTTGGGGTTAATTTGTTCTTATTTGGTGTTTGGGTTTATGGGTTTTTGAGATTTGGTGTTAAAATTTGCATAAAACTGATATCTTGTGCTAATTCTACCCAACCGCCTCTTTGCTTCTGTGTACTGTTTTTGACCTTTTAGGCAGATTTTTCCTGGTCAACATGCTCTTATTTGGTGTTTGGGTTTAAGGGATTTTGAGTTTTGGTGTTAAAATTTGGGTAAAGCTACTATCTTGTGCTGGTTTAACTCAAACCCCCTCTTCACTTTTGTCTACTATTTTTGATCTTTTAGGAATTTTTTTGGGTAAACTTGCTTGCTCTTGTTTGGTGTTTGGGTTTATGGGTTTTTGAGTTATGGTGTTAAATTTGCTTAAAGCTGATATCTTGTGCCGGTTCTACCCAACCCCTCTTGGTCTGTGGTTACTAATTAATACCCTTTTTAGGAGATTATTTGGATTAGTTTTCTTTTGGGAGTTTGTATTGAGGGTATTTGGACTAGCTGATATATTTCCCTAAAGTTGTTATCTTCTGCTGGTTCTTTACAACTTATTTGGATGGTTGTTACTCATTGTATTGTTAATCTAAGTACAATGTTTGTTTTGATTGTTAGTTACATTTTTGTGCATTGTATTGTTAAATCTCCTGTAACATCGAGAAGAACATTTTATGTAAGAGTGGTTGGATTGTAATGTTATTTCTCTTACCCATTGTACCTTTACTTATTGTTTCATAATCTTATTTCCCTATTTATCCTCTTTCTAGTGAACTCAACCCTATAGTCTATTAGACCTCTCCGCCTCACATTTCTAGTTGCTTCCCATTGAAATGATGGGTAACTACTAGCAACCATCTGAACAAGCTATTAGTTACCAAACACTTTCTTGCATTTGATGTTTAACTTTCATGTATGTGTGTAATGATTTGCTAACAAATGGGTGATTAAATGTGACTATGTTGTGTTATATGATAGCCCAATGGGACACCACTACCATTGGCAGCTGGGTTTGTAGGTCAGGCTGCAGCCAGAGAAGCTGCAGGGCTTGTGGTTGATATGATACGCCAAAAGAAGATGGCTGGTCGGGCTTTACTGCTAGCTGGTCCGCCTGGCACAGGGAAGACAGCTCTTGCCCTTGGTATATCACAAGAACTTGGAAGCAAGGTGCATTCTTTGTACTCTTTTGATTGTGGATTTAATGCTTCTATTTTATCAAACTTATTATGTGTGAACTTTATTTACCAGTATTGGAATGAAATGGGCTCAAATAGAGTGGAATTCATATAGAGGATTCAATGATTCAAATAACCGAGCCCAACTAGCTTAGGGTGCAATTGATTGATTGAATATTGATAATGTGTGAGCTGATTGGGCATTTTAATTTCTCCTTGTTTATTGAGATGAAATTTACTTAAAATTTTATTAGGGTGAGCAATCCAAAATATAGCCTGTGCCATAATTGTTGCATTGACTTCAATATTGCAGGTTCCATTTTGCCCGATGGTTGGATCCGAAGTGTTTTCATCAGAAGTGAAGAAAACTGAGGTTTTAATGGAAAATTTCCGACGAGCTATTGGTCTCCGTATCAAGGAAAATAAGGAAGTTTATGAAGGAGAGGCAAGTCCCCTAGTCTATCCCATTTGTCGTTTCAATTTTGCTAGTCTTTGATACAATAATTCTGCAATGATTTTTTTTTTGTTGTGAAGTTGATCTTCATTTGTTTATTTTTTTTAATGTAGGTGACTGAACTATCTCCAGAAGAGGGTGAGAGTGTGACAGGTGGATATGGTAAAAGCATTAGTCATGTTATAATTGGGTTAAAAACTGTCAAAGGTACCAAACAGTTGAAGCTTGACTCCACAATATATGATGCCTTAATTAAAGAGAAGGTAAGTCTGCAACATTACTTGAGCCGAGGGTCTATCGGAAACAGTCTCTCTACCCTCACAAGGTAAGGGGTAAGGCTGCATACATACCACTCTCCCCAAACCCCACTTGTGGGATTACACAAGGCTTGTTGTTGTTGTTGTAAGTTCTGCAACATATCTGTCAGTGAAGTATCAAATTTTTTAATATGTTTGATAAGCAGGATAATGAGGATATACAATATTTCCTCTTTCTTAACATCCGATGTTTGAAATCTAGACTGAAGCATTTTTCTCTTGAGTAAATTAAGTAACCTTCATGTCATTCTTATTAATCATGCTCTTAGAAGTCACTGGGGAAATTGCATTTAGTCTTTAATTTACTTCAGTCTCATTTATGCTTATTCTGCATGGGCGCTTATTCTTCTCTGTTGGTATCTCCTGCCTCCATGATATATGTGCAGGTAGCTGTTGGTGATGTCATTTACATTGAATCGAACAGTGGAGCAGTTAAAAGAGTGGGCAGGAGTGATGCTTTTGCTACAGAATTTGATCTTGAGGCTGAGGAGTATGTTCCACTTCCTAAAGGAGAGGTTCACAAGAAGAAGGAAATAGTCCAGGTTCTTCTCATTTTTTTGTTTTGCTATGGCACAGATAAAGATTACCCTGGCATGTATACATGTAGTTGTTTTTCTCAAATAGTCTATTTGTTCTATGGCTTAGCCATGAAATACTCTTATTTTGGGTGCTTTAAAGATCATAGTTCATCTTTGCGAGCACACTTGAATGTTTGAAGGGTATAAAATTCTGTATATTATTTGGAGTGGTGAGGAAAGAGATTTCTTAGCTAGATTGTGATGACCAGAAATTCAGGCTCCCGATAACGAATATCTTATTGGTTTGGTTATCGGTTTAAGGCACCGATAAACCTACCCGGTAATACACAAAACCGGACCAAACCGACTGATAAGCACCCCTATAGTCCATAGCACTTACAACTTAATATAGTGGTAGGTTTAAAGCACCCAAGTACCTGATTTTGACACAAGTTTTTTTAGGAGGAAATCAGCTGTCTCCTTATTGCAATATTTATTTATCCGATCTTCTATAGATTACCTGCCATAATTGCCTGCTTGTGAGATTTTGATCAAACTAAATATGCAAGCATCCGTATTTTTTTGTTTTAGACAAATGATATCACTACTTTAATGGCCTTTTGTGAGGGAAATCAATTGCAGGAACATGAAAACAAAAAATTCTGTACTTAATTGCATGCAGTATTGTTTTCCACCAGGATGTTACATTGCATGATCTTGATGCTGCAAATGCACGGCCACAAGGAGGACAAGATATATTGTCCCTTATGGGTCAAATGATGAAACCTAGAAAAACCGAGATTACTGACAAGTTGCGGCAAGAGATAAACAAGGTAGATCTATTGGTTCTAGTAGTCCTCTGAGACTGTGAATTTAGTATTTAACGCATGCGTCATTGTGGTCTTATTTCTCTGCAGGTTGTCAATCGTTATGTTGACGAAGGTGTTGCAGAACTTGTTCCTGGTGTCTTATTTATTGATGAGGTTCATTTTCCATTCATATAACATCGTGTTTGATAATTCATTTAACACCACCCTGTCCCCTCCGGTAACTAATTGGAGAAAACATCTTTGGCGGCAGGTTCATATGCTTGATATGGAATGCTTTTCATACTTGAATCGTGCCTTGGAATGTTCACTGTCTCCAATTGTGATTTTTGCCACTAACAGAGGCATTTGTACTGTCAGGTATATGAGTGTCCATGCAAAACCAAGCTTTAAAAATACATCAAGTTGGAAAGTTTCCATTTTATTGATTTCTTTATCCTGGGGCTTTTTATAATTTGCTTTCTGGCTGCATTAAATCAAACCATTGTGTGTTGAATGAAGTGGTTAGAAATACAGGACAAATTGTCACTTTTCTATATCAAAATATGCCTACATGGGCCATGCAATTATCGATTTCAAACTTACATGACAATTTGTTTGTCTGATTTTGACTTGGCACGGAGTTTTAAGAAAATAAAAGAACTTTTGAATCTTGTGGTCTTAGACTAAAGATTTGTAGAATATACCAAAATGTCCTTTAATCTTGTGCTCTTAAAAGACTTACACTAATGATTTGTAGAATGTATCAAAATGCCCTATAATTTTGTGGTCTTATGTGGAAAGTTGAAAATACAGAGTTGCCAAAGAAGGAAAGAGACATTTTATTTTGAAACGGACTAATAAGGGAAGTAAGATCAAACAAATTGAAACGGAGGGGTACATGTTTTTGGCTTTGTAGACACCTTAGAAGTATGTACAGATACATGTAATGTCTGAGATAAATTAGTTGTCACCAACAAACGTATCTCTTTGCAGAGGAACAGACATGACTAGTCCACATGGCATTCCACTTGACTTGTTAGATCGGTTGTTGATTGTCAGAACGGAAACTTATGGTCCAGCTGAAATGATACAGGTTTGCCGTTCATGCTAGTTTGTTCAACATTTATTTGTACATCTTATTGATCTCGACCTGAACATGTGCAATTTCGTTGCATTTTCTTGATGGATGTTTCTTTTGAGTGCCTGGGCAGATATTAGCTATACGTGCTCAGGTGGAGGGACTAGAAATAGATGAAGAGAGCCTTGCGTATTTGGGAGAGATTGGACAACAAGCTTCTTTAAGGTCGGATTTAACTTGTTGGTTTTGTAACGCCAGAATGTCAATTCATTTTTTTAATTAGAAGTAACCGATGCTCAATTCTTCTCTTTGTCCAGGCATGCTGTTCACCTGCTATCGCCAGCTAGTGTAGTCGCCAAAATGAATGGTCGTGATAAAATCTGCAAGGTACTTGTCCCGTCACATTCTTTATCATTTGCCTATATGAGGTCCGAACGATATTTTACTTAGCCATTCACTTTTTAGGTGGATCTCGACGAAGTGACTTCATTGTACCTAGATGCAAAGTCTTCTGCAAGACTTCTTCAGGAGCAGCAGGATAGATACATCTCATGATAAATTGTGTACTATGGTATCAATTCTCAAGCTTATTTTTTTATAGGTGTTCATACCCAAATTGCATTTTGCAAGTCAATTTGTTTCATTTAAGATTTTGCTGTTTCATGAGATTGCAATATAACTAGGCTTCTGGAATAGGAGAGGCTCTCTTCTATATTTATATCTTCCCTCCTATTGTATCGTCCTAGTAGATCGCTCCCGCTTGACTCTACTTGAATAGAGGAGAGACATAAGTTCTACAAACGTGTATGTAAGTTAAGCATGACAATTGGTTCCTTGCTTCAAGATTAGATTGAAGGCATTTTGCCAGCAATGTTTGAACAAGACTCAAGGCAATAGGCTCACCTTTCGGTTCATTGCATGGAAATGACAAAAAGAGAAAAGGAAGCTTTCAGTGGACACAAGCCCTCAAGACTTTGGGAAGTTTGCCCTAGGGTAGTCCTTCCTTTGGAGTTGCTTTTTTCATTTTTCAAAGTGGAATTCCTAGCTCTCATCTATGACATGTGTCAAACTCCACTTTTGTTGTTATCAAGTGGAATGATTCATTCAACCTCGGTATTAGTTACCAAGACGTCAGAGTGTCAAATGTGAATTCTGATACTCTTAGCTGTAAATGCATGTATGATGTAGCATTCTTGCACTAATGGTTGTTCATGCAAACCTTAAAAGGACAACTCGATGCATAAAATATTTTGCATTTATATGAAGAAAAACAAAAGTTGATAAAAATTGTCACACTTAGGTTTTGCTAGTGGCTTCTATTATATTCTCAAACCTCCCTATGGAGAGTTTCGTAAAAGTTTTGCAAAAAAAAATCAATCGGAAGCTATATCATCAAAATATTCATTAGTAATACCCAAAATGTCCAAAAAATGGTGAAGCTTCACGTACTGCTACCTCAACTCATGCGGAGGGTTTCGTGAAGGTTATGAAAATTTTTTGTTCGGAAGTCATATCACCAAAATATTCATTGGTTAACACCCGAAAAAACTAGAAAAATCACCTAAATGCCCAAAATATATATAAAAAATGGTAGGGGCTTCACGTACTGTTCTCCTAATTCCCTATGGAGAGTCTCGTAAAGGTTTTGCAAAAATTGTTCGAAAGTCGTATTAGAAAAATATTAATATGTTAATACACACGAAAAATCAAGAAAATTGCGCAGTTCCTCAAATTTAGCTCGTAAATGCGAATATATGTCTGAAAAATGGTCGGACTGTATGTAGTACTTCCCCAACTCATTACGGAGGTCCTTGTAAAGTTTTTTGAGAAATTTTTTTGGGAGCATTGAGGAGCCAGATCCATAGGCTACACACGAAAAACCAAGAAAATCGCATAATTCCTAAAAGTTGGTTCGTAAATGCGAAAATATGCCTGGAAAAAACAATAGGATTGTACGTAATGCTTCCTCAACTCATTACCGAAGTCTTTGTAAAGTTTTTTCAAATTTTTTTGGGTGCTCCGAAGCGCCAGATCCATGAGCTAATACACATGAAAAACCAAAAAAGTCACCTAATTCCTAGAAATTATCTCGTAAATGCAAAAATATGCTTGAGAAAAAATAGTGGGACTATACATAATGCTTTTCCAACTCATTACGGAGATTCTCAAAAAGTTTTTTTCAGAAAAAAATTGTGTGTGCTCCGAGGGGCCAAATACATGGCCTAATACACACGAAAAACAAAAAAGTCGCATAATTCCTAAAAGTTAACTCGTAAATACGAAAGTATGCCTGAAAAAATGGTGGGACTGTACGTAATGCTTTCCCAACTCATTACAGAGGTTCTCATAAAGTTCTGTCAAAAAAATAATTGGGTGCCTCGAGGTGCCAGATCCATGATCAAGAAAGTCGCGTAATTCCTTAAAGTTAGCTCGTAAATGCGAAAATATGCCTGAAAAGTGATGAGATTATACGCAATCATTCCCCAAATCATTACGGAGGTCCTCATAAAGTTTTTTTCAGAATTTTTTTGGGTGCTCCGTGTCGCACCCTGTTTCGAACCGGCCGAAATAGTTCACAACATAATGTGGTTGACACTCTGATTTTGGAAAAAAATGTTTTTGTTTGTTTTAGAGTCGCCACCTAAATTTTAAGGAAAATATTAGGAAAACCATTTTTTATTTATGTAAATGTAAACTCTGTTTTGATTTTGCGAAACCAGTGAGATTCTGAGTAAGGGTTTTGGTTACTCGAGGGGAAGGTGTTAAGCACCCCTCAAAGCCTATCCAACGATAGTCCTTAAACTTAATTTAGGAAAATATAATTAGGAAAACGTGTTTATTTATTTGTTTTAAAATCAATGATAAGTAATTAGTTAGTTTAAGAAAAGGGTACAATACAAGGTACGACACATATATGTCTGATGAAATAAATTTAATAGTAGTTTTTTTTTAACATATTGTAAAAATAAATAAGTGTACTTAAATGTATTGATAAATTTATATGTAAAATATATATAGTTGTATCATAATAAAATTATCTTAAAAATATATAGATGTTGAATTTGCGAGAACATGTCGTCTTATTTAAGACGTGAAATAAAAACAAGGTAGTAGTTGGGTGTGAATACGTAATAATATGTGATGTGTAATTTGAGTGAAAATATATAAACTGGAGTTTTCTAAAATAAAATAAAATAAATAATACTAGATGTTAAAATGTTAAAATATTAAAATATTATATAAAGGTTTGTGATCTTAAGTATGGTATGTACACATAGGTTGTTTAAAACATATGAATATTCATTATTTATTTACATGTTGGGAGAAATTGACAATAGATTATATGTAGTAAATAATATGTATATGAAAGTGTAGGGATTTATAAATTATAAAAAAATAAATAAGTAACTTCGTAAAAGAGATAATAGATATGAGAAAAATAATATAAAGGGTAACAAAATACTAAGTCATGTATGGAGAAAACTAAGTATAAAATATAGAATTTATACCTCTTATGTGCATGCATATATATGTATGTACCTTGTATTTGAACCTGTTGGCATATCTAAAATTTTGAAATGGCATGTTAAAAGATAAAAATGTTTTTAGCCATGTTTGATCCAAAAAAAAGGTAAGAATAGTCAATATACTTTATAAAGAGGTGATGTAAAGAGTGTAAAAAATATAATTTGAAATAGCGTGTTACAAGATTAAAGTATTTTTTAGCAATGCTTGAATCAAAAAATAAGAATAGTCAATATATATATTTTATAAGGGGTGATGTAAAGAGTATAAAATAGACCTAACTATTAGGACTGATTCTATAGTCACATTTGTTTTGTTATATATATATATAAGCCTACTTTCCTACTTATTTTTTTTAATAAAAAATATAATTTCACGAGTTAATTAGTTTAAAGTTAATTATTTCTTAGCCTTTATGTATCTCTACATTCATTTGGAAGTCCCAATTTATGGGTTTTATTTTTTCCTACTTAAATACTTAAATGAATATTATTTCACCCTCTTGAAACTTCATTTGGAAATCTTTTAAAACCATAAGCCCCTCTTTTCAACTTAAAAGGCCTAAAAGAATGTTATAAGTAAAATGTTAACCCATTTTTTAGAAAATATCTTTTGTATCATTTGTTCTAAAGGTGTTTAAACTAAATTCATAAACAAATAATATTAGTCCACGTAAAACAAGCTTCAAAATAAAAGACAAACAATATATCAAAGCTTGTAAGTAAAGGTTAGCCAATATATCCAAACAATATAATTAAGACTCGAAAAGAGGAAAATTAAGAAATATTGGACTCCTAATTTGCGAGGCTCCAAGCGTTGCGATGATCCTAATTTGCTGTTGGCCTAATACTTTAGGCCAATAACGAGTTCCAAAGTAGAAACTCCAGCCCTCCGGTTGTACATGAAACATAATAAAAGAGATAAGAGGATTAGAATACATAAATTATGAAATGAAGCATAAAATGATTGTAGCATATAAAAATGATTATCAAATCTTGATCCAGTTAATTTGATCAAAATCTCCACTCCTGAGCGTGCAAAACAAACGTTTGAGGGGGTGGGATATATGACACAACGCACACTCTTTAGTCGATCCTAAAATGTATACATGAACACAATCTATTCAACCTAAAAAATAAATAGCTTAACCGAATCCTAAAAAACGAGATAAGGAATAAGAAAATACCATATTTTGACTACGTAGCTTTAAGATTAAAATATGAATTCAAACTAAAGAAGTAAAGCTTCATATACATAGAAACTCTCCAACTAGATTATTTTATTTTATTTTAATATGGTTTAATCAAAGAACAAATGTTTTTTCTTTTTAAAGAGGATTTGAATATAACAAGAGTATACTGACTTGGTGGTAACTTGAAGGTTATTAACATTAATCTCATTGCAAACCAACAATAGAAAATGATCAAAGCCAAACTTAAACAAAGAAAATCTGAAGTTATGTTAAATAAGAATGAAAAAAAATGAATTGGTTGCAATCTAAAAATAATAAAAACTATGCATTCTGATTCATCTTATTTTGCACACATGAGAGAATAATTTGCATGATCAAACGTATTTTAAATTCAAGGAGATTGTTTTCTTCTAATAGTGTATGAATAATGTGTTAGACATAAAAAAAAATATCCATAGCTACTAACACATGATCACATTCATATACTCCTAACTAATTTGACCAAAAGGACCAATTCTTCAAGATGTCGAGCAAAATTAGGCGAGAAAATGCCAATGAATGCATTCACGATTTTTAGTTAGAGAAAAAGAAAATATGCAACATGGTTTAGTCTTACCACACAATAACACAACAAGATTGTACAAGAACAACAAACGGAAAAAAAAAAAAAAGACTATTATATGGCTAAAAGGATAAGTATAAACTCTAGCATGAACTTTAATGACTCTGACACTTGATTATGTAGAATAATGAATCCTTGCTTTTCCAGAAAATGAGTTATAATTTTCATTAGTTAAATTTAGCACATATCAGTAGGGAGGATTTTATATCTATGACATGAAGCAAATCGAGTGATATTCCAAAAATCTACACAGACCAACATCTTGGGTTGCAAACAAATGAACTCAATAGGGAAACATATCATTTATAATCTCAAACTTTTGGAGGAAAACAAGAGACGAATACTGAAAACAGAGGACAACTTCAACATTTTCTTCACGGGACCAAACCAGATGACAACAAAGGGATAAAAGATAAATAAGGAAAAGGATTTTACCTTGTGTTGAGCAACAAACTAGAGCTTTGCCGTCAAGAGATTTCAACTTCAAACTTATTCTCGAGATACGAATTCAAAATCGAAAACAGAAGCTTGAAAGAAGATCAGAATTTTCTGGAAAAAAGAACCTAATCCTTGAAATGTGCTTTTATTCCTCTTTTCTGTCTTTTTTCTCCCACCCCTTGAATGAGAACCAAAGGGCTGATTTTATAGTCGAATTTGAGGGAGGCTTTCCAACCTCAGACCCATTAGATTAAGGGCGTAACCAATCAAAATCCGATGGTTCTTCGCGTCCCCTATTTTTCAGGCGGGGTAATGATGATGGTCGAGACTTCTAGGCCTGCCTTGGGTTAGAAATAAATCGAAAAGATGTAAAGTTGATAGAAAGGGGGGGTTGTGATTGATGGATGGCGGATGGAGGAAGAGGTGACGTTGGAGACCGCCGGATATTGTCGTTTTCCGGCGGTTCATGGCCGTTTCTTTGGCAGCGAGCGATGGGTGATTGACGAGAGAGGACGAAGGGGCATGGGGAAGGTGAGGACGTCTGGGGAAGAGGAAGGAACAGTGCCTCCTTATTTTGGAAAAAGAAGAAGACGTTGGGGAGGGTATGCGGCTGATGAGAATTGTACTTATTTTGGGAAAGATGAATTATTATTCTTTTGGGATTTAATTTAGGCCGTCCGATCATTTGATCGGACGGTTGGTAAAAAATAAAGAGTTAAAAATAAATAAATAATAATTATATATATAATAGTAAAAGGATGAATTAATTGAGGCCGTTAGATTAGATTGTAAGGCTGAGATCGAATATAAAGAAGCACAATCCATGTGCTCGCCTACGTGGCATACACGGATTGGCCGGTTTAATAAGACTTGGATTGTCAAATTTGCTCAAATTAAATTCATTTAAATCATAACTACTTTCTTTATTAGATAGCCATAAGTGATAATTATTTTGCAAGATTAACTTATTTGATAAAATTAGTCACTCTTAAAATTAAATTAATATAAATTAGTAAATCATTAATTAACTAAGCTTTCCAATATTAATAAATACACGAAAAATATCTATTGTGACAAAAGGAATTATATTTGAACCAAAATAGATTCAATTCTTAAGAAGAACAACTATTTAATTTAAAATGAGAAAGTAAGTAGTAATATAATATATTTAATTTTTATAAGAAATAACATTGAAGAAATAAATTTATCAAGTCAAATAAGTAATTATTTTTTTATTTATTTTGTATTCCTAAAAATTTCATAACATATATATTTTATTATTATTATTATAATTACTATAGTTAAATGTGGAGAGCCAAAATTGGGTGTCAACACTCCGAGACGCCAAAACCATGGGCTAATGCACATGAAAAAACAAAGAAAGTCGCGTAATTCATAAAAGTCAGCTCATCAATGCGAAAATATGCCTGAAAAAATTCTGGGACTGTACATAATGCTTCCCCAACTTACTACAGAGGTCTTAATAATGTTTTTTCAGAAAATTTTTTTGGGTGCTCCAAGGCGCCTGATCCACGAGCCTTAAAGTTGCCTCTTAAATACAAAAATGTTGGCTCTTAAATACGAAAATGTGCTTGAAAAAAACAGTAGGATTGGATGTAATACTTCCCCAACTCATTAGGAAGGTCCTCATAAAGTTTTTTTTTTAAAATTGTGGGTGCTCTGAGTCGCCAGATCAATGGGCTAATACACATAAAAAATCGAGAAAGACAGGTAATTCTTAAATGTTGGCTTGTAAATATGAAAATATGCCTGAAAAAACGATGGGACAATACATAATGTTTCCCCAACTCATTATGGAGGTCCACGTAAGGTTTTTTCATATTATTTTTTTTGGGTTTTTAGACACTAGATCTATGGGCTAATACACGAAAAATTAGAAAATTTGGGCGATTCTTAAAAAAAGGCATATAAATGCGGAAATGAGCGTTAAAAAAATGGTGTGAGTATACATGAAGGTTCCCCAATTCATTACAGAGATCCTCATAAAGTGTTTTGAGAAAAAAAAATTGGGATCTCCGGGCGCCAGATCCATGGGCTAATACACATGAAAAATTGAGAAATTTTAGTAATTCTTTAAAAAAAACACCTTATAAATGCGAAAATGGGCGTTAGAAAAATGTTGTGAGTATATATGAAGGTTTTCCAACTCATTATGGAGGTCATTAGAAAGTTTCTTGAGAAAAATTTTGGGTGCTCCGGGCGCCAAATTCATACATACGAACAATACGAGAATTTGGACGATTCTTAAAAAATGCTTGTAAATGCGGAAATAGACATTTAAAAATGGTCTGAGTATACGTAAAGGTTCCCCAACTCATTACAAAGGTCCTCATAAATATTTTTTGAGAAAGAAATTTGGATTCTCCGGCCGCCAGATCAATGGGAATTTGAAAGATTCTTAAAAAAAGGCTTGTTAATGCGAAAATGGGCGTTAAAAAAATGGTGTGAGTATACGGGAAGATTCTCCAACTCATTACGAAGGTCCTTATAAAGTTTTTTGAGAAAAAAAATTGGGTGCTCTGGGTGCCAGATCCATGGGCTAATACACACAAAAAATAAGGGAATTTGGATGATTCTTAAAAAAGGCTTGTAAATGTGGAAATTAGCGTTAAAAAAATTGTGTGAGTATACGTGAAGGTTCCCCAACTCATTATAGAGGTTCTTATAAAGTTTTTTGAGAAAAAAAATTTGGGTGCTCTGGGTGCTAGATCTACGGGATAATATACACGAAAAATCGGGGAATTAGGGAGATTCTTAAATAAGGGCTTGTAAATGCGGAAATGGGCGTTAAAAATTAGTGTGAGTATACGTGAAGGTTCTCCAACTCATTATGCAGGTCCTAATAAAGTTTTTTGAGAAAAAATTTCTGGATTCTCCGGGCGCCAGATCCATGGGCTAATACACACGAAAAATTAGGAAATTTGGGCGATTCTAAACAAAAGGCTTGTAAATGCGGAAATGGGCGTTAAAAAAATGTTGTGAGTATGCTTGAAAGTTCTCTAACTTATTACAGAGGTCTTCATAACTTTGGGTTCTCTGGGCGCCAGATCCATGGGTTAATACACACGAATAATCGGGGAATTTGGGCGATTCTTAAAAAGAGGCTTGTAAATGCGAAAATGGGCATTAAAAAATTATGTGAGTATACGTGAAAGTTACCAAACTCATTATAGAGGTCCTTATAAAGTTTTTTGAGAAAAAAAAATTGTGTTCTCTAGGCACCAGATCCCTAAGCTAATACACATGAAATATTGGGAAATTTGGGCGATTATTTGAAAAGAGCTCGTAAATGCGGAAATGGGCGTTAAGAAAATAGTGTGAGTATTCCTGAAGGTTCCCTAACTCATTACGAAAGTCCTCATAAAGTGTTTTGAGGAAAAAAAATGCGTCAGATCCATGGGCTTAATTAACACACGAAAAATTGGAAAATTTGAGCGATTCTTAAAAAAGGTCTTATAAATGCAGAAATGGGCGTTAAAAAATTGTATGAATATACATGAAGGTTCTCCAACTCATTATAGAGGTCCTCATAAAATTTTTTGAGAAAAAAATTTAGGGTGTTTCGAGCGCCACATCCATAGGCTAATACACACGAAAAATCAGAAAATATAGACGATTCTAAAAACAAGGCTTATAATTATAATTATGGAAATGGGCGTTAAAAAAATAGGGTGAGTGCACGTGAAGGTTCTTCAACTCATTATAGAGTTCCTCATAAAGTTTTTTGAGAATAAAGTTTTGGGTTCTTCGGGTGCTAGATCGATGGGCCTAATACACGCGAAAAATTGTGAAATTTGCGTAATTCCTATATAAGGGCATGTAGGTGCGGAAATTGACCTGAAAAAAATGGTGTTTGTATACGTGATGGTTCCACAACCCAATATGGAGGTCCTCATAAAAAAATTTGAGAAAAAAATTAGGGTTTTTCGAGCGCCAGATCTATGAGCTAATAAACACGAAAAATCGAGAAATTTGGACGATTCTTTAAAAATGGCTTGTAAATGCGGAAATGGGCGTTAAAAATTGGTGTGAGCAAACGTGAAGACTCCCCAACTCATTACGGAGGTTCTCATAAAGTTTTTTGAAAAAAATATTGGGTTTTTTGATCGCAAGATCCATGGGATAATACATACGAAAAATTAAGAAATTTGGGCGATTCTTTAAAAAGGGATTGTAAATGCGGATATGGGCGTTAAAAAATGATGTGAGTATACGTGAAGGTTTCCCAACTCATTACAGAGATCCTTATAAAGTTTTTTGAGAAAAGAATTTATGGTGCTCTAGGGGAGATCCATGGTCTAATACTCACGAAAAATTAGGAAATTTAGGTGATTTTTAAAAAAGGACTTGTGAATGTGGAAATGGTTATTAAAAAATAGTGTGAGTATATATGAAGGTTCCCCAACTCATTATGGAGATCCTCATAAAGTTTATTGAAGAAAAAATATGGTGCTCCGGGAGTTAGATCAATAGGCTAATACACAGAAAAAATTAGGAAATTTGGGAGATCTTAAAAAAAGAGCTTGTAAATGTGGAAATGGGTGGTAAAAAAATGGTGTGAGTATGCATGATGGTTCCCTAACTCATTACGGAGACCCTCAAAAGGTTTTTTGAGAAAACAATTTTGGCTGCTTCAGGTGGCAGATCCATGGGCTAATATACACGAAAATTAGGAAATTTGGGCGATTCTTAAAAAAAGACTTATAAATGCGGAAATAGGCAATAAAAAAAATGGTGTGAGTATATGTGAAGGTTCCCCAACTCATTAAAGAGGTTCTCATCAAGTTTTTTGAGAAATAAAATTTGGGTTTTGTGGGTGCCAGATCCGTAGGCTACACACAAAAAATCAAGAAATTTGGGCGATTCTTAATAAAAGGCTTGTAAATATGGATATGGGTGTTAAAAAAATGGTGTGAGTATACGTGAAGGTTTGCCAAATCATTACAGAGGTCATCTTAAAGTTATTTGACAAAAAAAAAATTGAGTGCTTTGGTCGCCTGATCCATGGGCTAATACACACGAAAAATTGGGGAATTTGGGCGATTCTTAAAAAAAGACTTGTAAATGCGAAAATGAGCGTTAAAAATGGTGTGAGTATACGTGAAGGTTCCCCAACTCATTACTGAGGTCCTCATAAAGTTTTTTGACAAAAAAAATTAGGTTCTACGGTCGCCAGATGCATCGGATAATACACACAAAAAATTAGGAAATTTTGGCGATTCTTAAAAAAGACTTGTAAATGCGAAAATGGGCGTTAAGAAATGGTGTGAGTATAGGTGAAGTTTTTCAAATTCATTACGGAAGTCTTCATAAAGTTTTTTAAGAAAAAAATTCAGGTGTTCCGAGCGCTAGATCTATTGGGTAGTACACATGAAAAATTGGAAAATTTAGGTGATTCTTTAAAATGGGACTGTAAATGCGAAAATGGGCGTTAGAAAAATGGTGTGAGTTTACGTGAAAGTTCCCAACTCATTACGGAGGTCCTCATAAAGTTTTTAAAGAAAAAAATTTGGGTGCTCTGGGCGCTAGATCCATGGGATTAACACACGAAAAATCAGAGAATTTGGGCGATTCATAAAAA